GCCTGTCAGAATGGCTAAGATAAAAAATACAGATGATGGCTTAAACTGAAGAAAATGTGGAGAAAGGGGGACACTCTTCCACTGCTGTTGGAAATGCAATTTTGTACAGCCACTCTGGAAATCAGTATGGTGGTATCTCAGAAAATTGAGAATCCATCTACCTCAAGACCTAACTATACCACTACTGGGCATATACCCAAAAGTTGCTCAACCACACCACAAGAATATTTGCTAAACTATATTCATTGCAACATTCGTGGAAACAACCTAGATGCCCTTCAACAGAAGAATGGATAAAGAAAATGTGTTACATTTACACAATAGAATATTATGCACCATTAAAAAATATCATGATATTTGCAGGCAAATGGATGGAACTAAAAAAAACTCATCCTGAGTGAGGTAACCCAGACCCAGAAAGACAAATATAGTATGTACTCACTCATAAGTCAATGTTTGAAGCAAAGCAAAGGATAACTATGCTACAGTCCACAACCCCAGAGAAGCTAGGTAAAGAGGAGAACACTAAGAGGGACACACATGGATCACCCCAGGAAGAGGAAAAGGTTAAGATCTCCTCAGCAAACTGGGAGGGTGGAATAAAGGGGATGGGATGGGAGGGAATGGAAGGTGGAAACATGAGGGAGAGACAGGGAGGGAGAGTAATGAAAGATATATCTTGAGAGAGTGTACCATTAGGGGGATGGAGAGAAATCTGCAGCCAGGGAAAACCCCAGGAACTCACAAGATTGTCCCCAGCTAAGACTCATAGCAATGGTGGAGAGGGTTCTTGAACTACCCTTCCCCTGCACTCAGACTGGTGTCTACTCTAATTGTCATGATAGAACCTGCACCCAGTGACTGATGGAAGCAGATGCAGAGACCCACAGCCAAGCACTTGGCCAAGTTCCTGGAGTTCAGTTGAAGAGAGGAAGGAAGCATTATAAGAGCAAGTGGGGGATCAGAATCAAAATGGGAAAAACCACAGAAATAGATGACCCAAGCTAATGGGAGCTCATGGACTCTGGACTGAAGCTGGGGGGCCTGCATGGAACTGAACTAGACCCTCTGAATGTGAGTTAAAGTTGTGTGGCTTGATGTGTTTGTGGGTTCTCTGGCAATGGGACCATGACTTTTCTTGAGTACACAAACTGGCTTTTTAGACCCGATTCTCTATGGTGCAATGCCTTACTCAGCCTTGATGCAGGGGGCAGGGGCTAAGTCTAGCCCGAACATGGTATAGCAGCCTGTGTTGACTACCCAAGGGAGGCCTTACTCTCTATGATGAAGGGATGGGGGTGATATGGGGGTAGGTGGGGGAAGTGGGAGAAGAGGAGGGAGGGGGAATTGGGTTGGTAAGTAAAAAGAAAGAAAATCTTTTTAATAAAAAATTATTTTAAACAAGAAGTGGTTAATTAAAGTGTTAGGAGTCTATCAGTGATGAGTGGAAATAAAACTACCTTATTTTTCTTTGGCCAAAAAAAATATTTTTGTATATTGATACAAATTTAAGTTTATTTTTGTTATATGATATATATGTATAATTATATACACACACACACATATATATATATATATTTGCTTTTGTTTAAGGTATTATATCTATGAAACTGATTTGACAATGTAGCATAAAGTTCTAGTCCTTGAAAGTTATTATTACAAGCCATTTAGGATAATTAAAAAATACATTTCAGTAGTTAATAATCTAGCAATCAAATTTGTGGCCACGTTAGGTATATTTTCAAGGTCAAACATGAGATATATTTTAGATAGACAGATGGTCTTCAAACACTTCAGGGACCTTCAGAAAATGGAATTTAAGATATTTTAATAATATAAGAATTCTTATGATAGTAAGACGCATCTGTTCCTGTCAGCACCAATATACATAAAAAAGGATCATGAGCATTTGCTGTGGGATGGTCTGTATGTCAAATTACTCAAATTGGTCAATAAATAAAACACTGATTGGCCAGTGGCTAGGCAGGAAGTACAGGCGGGACTAACAGAGAGGAGTAAAGAAATAACAGGAAGGTGGAAGGAGACACTGCCAGCCGCCACCATGACAAGCAACATGTGAAGATGCCGGTAAGCCACGAGCCATGTGGCAAAGTGTAGATTTATGAAAATGGATATATTTAAGCTATAAGAACAGTTAGCAAGAAGCCTGCCACAGCCATACAGTTTGTATATGAGGCAATATAAGTCTCTGTGTTTATTTGGTTGGGTCTGAGAGGCTGTGGGACTGGCGGGTGACAAAGATTTGTCCTGACTGTGGGCAAGGTAGGGAAACTCTAGTTACAGGCATTGAAGAACCTCCATAAGGAATTTGTCTTCAATGTAACAGAGCTAGCCAACTAGGCAAGAAACCGCCCTTGTCTCAACTGCTCATAGTCTTCTGTCCAAACTAGATGAGCAAGACACAAAAGAAGACAACTGCCAAATTTTGCCAAGACAAGGTAGGACAGTCCTACAAAATTCTTGCATCACAAGAATGTCTGTCAGATATTCTAGGCTTGTAGGCTGAAGATGAATGTCCCAACATTGCAGAAGAACCTTGGTTGACTATCCAGACAGCCACCAGTTTCTGTCATTTCTATAGTTTTGGAAGTTGCTTGTTCTGCACTTTCTGTTTCCTTGAGTAATAGTATATTATTCTGGGGTCTTTAATAGGGTTTTAGACTAGATAGTTATAGTTGCAGGTTTCCTTGTTAGCAAATTCAGAAAATAAACCTACATAAGAGATTTAAAGTTTATAAGGTTGAGAAGCATAAAAGCTTAAGTTATTTATCTAACAACATGTTTTAAATTCAAAAAGATATTTTTAGGAAGGCAATATAAGTTATGATAGAAAATGGTTTGACTATAAACTTTGGTCTGGCTAAGATAGGATACATTGTTACAGTACTTTCTCCAAATTTGCAAAATACAAAAGGACTGGATATTGTAAATTTAATTCTACCCAATAATTATTCTTACTGTATATAGTTTTAATATGCTGGAGTTAAAATCTTTCCTTTTTATTTAGACAGAACGATGAACATGTTGTGGGATATTTGTAAACTATGTAAAGATATATTGCTGTGATTGTTTTAATAAAGAGTTGAATGGCCAATAGTAGGCAAGAGATAAAGGTCAAACTTCTGGGCAGAGAGAGAAAATATAAAGAGATAATCAAGGTGCAGGGGAGACACTAGGAGACATGGAGAAAAAATAGGAGGTGCAAAATGGAAGAGAGATAATGCTGTGATAGAATGTAGATTCATATAAATGGGTTAGTTTAAGTTATAAGATCTAGTTGGGAACAAGCCTAAGTTATTCACCAAGCTTTCATAATTAATAATATGTCTCCACGTCATTATTTTTGAGCTGGTGGCCCAAAGAAAACTCTGACATCAATGAAACATTCCATTGCGGAGAGGATTTGAGGAGGCCCACAAAACTCACAAGAAATGTATACAATTCACGAACCTTTCCTGTCACCAAGGTTATATAAATAGTAAATAATTGCTAGGGAAGAGGAAACTCTGGTGGAACTGCCTGGAACTAGCGGGAGTAGACTGAGCTACTCAACTTCTAGGAGATGGGGCTTTACATGATGCAATGTGCTGAGTCCCTCACAGTCTTCCAAACAGCCTGCCATGCACTTCAATGGGCAACACTGCACAGGTTCCAGGAGATAATCTGGAGGCACCTCCATGAGTCAAGTGGTGAGGCACACCTCCCAAAAATGCCAAGACAGAAAGATTTGGGTGAGTAAATTGTGCCAGAAACACAGATTTAAATGCATGAAACATGGATGGAAACATGGGTTAAAACTTATTGAAACAAAAATCCAATGAAAAATCAACTGTATTAGACAAATACTAAGTTTGGGGTTGTTTGTTTCGAGATAGGGTCTCTCTATGTAGTCCTGGCTGCCCTGGAACTCCCCATGTAGACAAGACTAGTCTCAAATTCACAGAGATCTGATTCCTTTTCCCAAATGCTGGGTTGAGCACCACTCCATCAGGCTCAAACTAAATTTTTAAAGCATATCTACTTCAGTGCAGTCAAATCTACTTTGCACATAAGACTTTTCACACTATACTTTGATACTATGAAACAAACTTTTTATCCATAGTTCAGTAAAATATGTCCACTTCTTTTATATTTTTACATGGAGGACTTTGGCCTTTCCGAAATATACCTGGATCTCATACACACAGTGCTCACCAGATTTATACTTTTCTTGTTATCTCTTCCCTCCAACTTGTTGAGGGTTTTATGCCAAGTCCAGATGACCAGGTCCAGGCAGACAGAGGCAGAAGAGGACAATAGGTGAGGGTGGGAGTTGGGCTAAAGGGTTAGTGCTGGTGCTTATTTAACAGCCATGGGCAGCTTCTCAGGGATAATGATGTTACACACTCATCCTCCAGGAATATATGTACAACTAAGACTGGCAATGACTTTTATCATTCAAAGTACTGGTCAATCCCTCCATCACTGTGGTCCCACCATGTCCCTGAGGCAATGTCAACACAGACCTTGGATACTAACCAATCACACAAAAGCCAAAATAAGTCAAAATAACCAGAGTTCTGCACCCAGGTCTGCCTTGCTTGAGGTGTGATGAGGGAGGGTCCTGCAATCTTCCTCCCTCCACCCCTGCCACTGCTACTACATTATTAAAAGTTAGGTCCCTCACAGGATTCCATGAAGTTCCCCCAATGGAGCAAGATCTCTGTAGGGACCGGCAGACATTTGTAAACCTGATGCCATCGCCAGTCCTGCCCACCCTGGTGGCTCCTCAAATTCTCCTTCCTCAGTGTCAGAAATCTTCTGAAGCTGTTTGGCATTGGCTGCACATCATTTGAACTTCCAAGATATCACATAGCTCTACAGGACTGCTGGGTGCCATGCTACTTGGTGTCTGGTATCTGTTAATTCCAATATCACATCAAACTTCTGAACTGAGAAGGTCTGCCACAAAAAAGCTGAACCCAGACAAAAATGCTGAACTCTTTATTGGATTCAGATGGGCAGAGAGGGGTTGAAAGCTAAAGCAGGATGGTGGTCCAGTGGGGAGTAACAATCAAGGAAGGAGTAAATCTCAGGTCGGGGAAATGCAACTCAGTATACAGTGGTCCAGGAGAGAGTTGTCCAGTCAGGTCACTGCCATGTACTAGTGGCAAAGATAGCTCAGCATTTGTGGTCCTGGCGGGCTGTGACAGAGAGAGGAACACAAGTGAGAGAACTCTCCTCTTACCATGGGAGTAGCAGTCAGAGAGTAGCTACTTATGAGGTAGGTGCCTATTAGAGGTTTTCCTTCCATCAAGCCTCTGGGAGGTCACTCACTGCGAAAACACATGGGCCCAAGAACAGTTCTGAATTCCTTGACATTGTAGGTCTCTAATTATGTTTGGTGGGTACCGAGAGAAAGCAGAGATCATGATATGGGAAGGACTCTGGGGAAAGAAAGGGCAGATTTCTTGGGCATAGTACTTGAGGACACCTCTTGAGGTGGTCACTGCTTCCTGGCTAAACATGGTCCCTCCTGAGTGAGAGGATGGGAGCAAGGTCAAGAACAGATAGAAACTTCAACCCTGGAACTGAGGAATCTGGGTTCTCTCAGGGTTCTTTAGAGCATCACTTACCACGGCCATGTTTGGGAACACAATGTTCTGTAAAAGAAAGAAAAAAATGAATGTAAGAAAGTATCAAGGTGAAGACCCAGAGTACACCTGCCCCTCGGATGGCCTCATGATTGAGATGACAAGAAGGGCCCTGCTGGTGAAGGAGGGCACATGGTTAGACAAGAGCTGCAGCAGCATGGGTGACATAGAGGGGACATGGGGCAGGGGGCGGAGCGGAGTATTGTCTCACCCCTCTGCTGAGGCACAATAATGTTTTCTTGGAGAAGTCCTTTGTGCTGCGTGAATTTCTTAAACTCTTCCAGGGCCTCCATATTTTCTTTGGGGCACTTCCCTGTGGGTAGAGGCAAAATGAACAGGGACATGACTGCACAGCTCTGCTGGGAGCCAGCAACACAAGGACAGGAACACTGTCCAGCATTAGGAACCTGGAGAAGATGGGAGCAAGGGGGAGGAGCCCTCAGAGTGAACTTGGAGGTGGGATATGGGTGTATGACTTGTCCACAGGAAATGGATATCACTGACACATAAGGATACTATATGACAAAGAATATAGGTGACATCCTGAAAGGCCAAACAATGTCACACTCTAACAGGAAGGACCCTGTGTTTCAGGGTCACTAGTATGCATCCTGTCCCTGGGGTGCATTGCCCATAAAAGGCCCCTTTAGGACACAAATTGTCAAGGAGGCATGCCTTCTATGAAACCTGAGACCCAAGCAAGTGACATATAGTAAGTCACTGGCTGGATCTTCTCTCCTATTGGTCAGTGCTCAAGACCACATCTGCTCATAGAAGTTCTGCACATACCACAATTTCCCACTTCAGAGCATGCACATTGACCACAGAGCACCTTAACCAAAGCTGCTAGAGGGATACCCAGGGGGCTTTTAATTCCCAGTGCCAAGATGTAGCTGTTACACATTCAAATAGCTAATGGTAGTAGAGAACACGGGCAGGAGGGGTCCCTCACCTATCAGATGTCCTGAAAGGAATTTTTTCTCATGCAAAAGAGTTTCTATGTATATGATGTAGTGGTCCTTCACTGGCAGCTCATAGATGTAGAAGAACTTATAGCCGGAAACTGCAGATTAAAGAGAAATGGGTGTGTAGCATCCTTTTCAAAAACAACATTCAGAGAACACTAAGGAACAGTCTAGAATGTTTCAGCAATAACCCATGAGCACCCAGCCAGATGGCTCCAGACCTTGCAGTGGATCAATCACAAGACAGAAGTTCCTCCTAGAAAGGTGTCATCCCCAGCTGTGGACCACAGGTGTCAGAGAAGATGGAAGCTGTGCCTGACTTGTCCCCTAGAAGCTACCCTGGCCTGCTTCCTAAATCCTAAGCTTCAGTCTCCGTGTCTGACAGTGGACAGAGGCATGGTCTCTTCTGTGGACTAGCCTATGATCTCTAAAGCCAACTGGGAATTAACTGGGTGAGTCTTCCTGAAAAGTAAGCAGGCCAGGGATAAGGCAAACCCCAGGAGCTTGCTTACAAAGGATAATCAGGTGCAGCCAGGGGAACCTTATTGGCTAATGACTTGACATGATCTAGAATTGCCTGAGTTTTGATCCACTGGCCATGACAGTAGAAATATTATGCTAATTTATTGTGGAAGAAACACCTTAATTGTGGGCAGGAGCATTGTTGGGCAGCAGATCCTGGTCTGTGTAAATGGTGAAGCCATCTGAGCACCAGCATGAATGCACTCATTCTCTCTTCTGACTATGGGCATAATATCAGCAGCTGCTTCATGCTCCAGCTGCCAGGAATGCTCCACCATCGTGGACTGTACCTTGAAATAAACCTTGAACTAAAGCATTTCTCCATTAAGCAGTGTTGATTAGAATGTTTTTTGACAGCAACAGGAGAAGAAACTGAGATAAAGACTCACAGGAGCTGTATTGACCAGGCTTCTCTGTTCTCTGCATATGCATTATTGTCTTAATGCACTGGCCCTCATACCTGGAAAACAAGAAAACAACCCATAGACTATTTCAGAACACATGCCTGTGCTCTACTGAGTTCACCTGCTTCATTATCCTTAGAACAATGTCCCCTGAAATGCCATATCAACCCCTCCAAGTTGTAGAAATCTAAGACTGTGGCCCCCTCTAATGAAGGGGCTTTTCTATCATCAATATCCCAACACAGTAAAGGAAGGGATAGAAAGTTGAAAAGACACACTGGAGATACTCACATGACCGTAGTCTTGACCTCCAAAGTTCCTTGTTCCAGACATGACAGTGTATAAGGGAACAGAACCAGAGGTCTCCCCAGCTCTGTCAGGTTTCTTTCATTCACTATAGCCTTCACGAACCAGACACCTGAGAGCTGGGGCAGACAGAGTCCTGAGCCCACACTTGCCCAGCCCCAAGTCTCCCCCAGGTTCCCATAGGCATACAGCCTGAACACACATCTCAGAATCCAAGATACAGCCTCCAAGTTAGTGATGTTCCACTCTCCAACCCCTTGCTCCCTAAAATTATATTAGAACTACTGATTGGTGGCAAACTAGAAGCAGGTGTCCATATCCAGAGTCTAGGAAACAACACACAAGAGGTCCTAACAAGTGAGAATTTCTGGTTCTGGGTGTCCCTGCTCTAGGACCCTTCATGCTCCAACTCTGTGGCCCAGGAGCCCATGTGTGCTGGAGAACAGCAGTCTCTGCTCAGACTCAGAGGACTTGAACACTCATGAGTGCTAGCTCCAGTCCTCAGACACTGGCCAATGTCAAGCCTTCCACATACACCTGTCCACCATCCCTTGCTGCCTCACTTTCTTTTCTTCTGAGAGGAAGGGCAGGTCATCCTGAGCTTGTAGGACAGCCACCAGGACCAACAGTGTGACAGTCAGGAGCAGGCTCTGCATCTTCGGCTCTGTCCTCTAGACAAGGCAGGTCACTGGGGTGAGTCTATGAGGCTTTGCTGGCTCCTCAGAGGATGCCCTTTATGGCCACAATTACACTAGCCACACCCTTCCTGGCCATCTGTCATGGCCAAATACATGTCCATCATGGGGGTGTATATTGTTGGTGTTGGGTAATATGGTGGTAGTTTACTGAAGATAAAAGACACAATGCCTTACAATGTCTGCACCATCCAAAGGTGTTACTCCTGAAGGACCAGAAGAATACAAGAGACTCAGGAGTGGGGTAGGGACACAGCCCACACTCTGGGCCAATCATGTGGGGATGAGTTCATTCCCTGGCTATACCCAGCCCTACTCTGCACCTTTGGACAAAATGGCTGCCCTGGCCCCCTTTCTGGAAGGTGACATTCCTGTGCCTCTTGACCACAAAGGGACTAGGATACTTCTCCACACAAAGTCCTGATGATTTACAGAGCCCACACTGCAATCTAGGATCTGATCTCTTTACTGCTCATGCCTGGCAGGCATGTATGTAGACTCTGGGTCTCCTGAAATAACACCTCATCAAAGAGGCTCCTGGCCACATTCAAACCTACCATCATCTGAATTGCTACATTCTGTACCTGGAGACAGCTGTGCTCTCTTAGAGCGCTTCTTACTCTCAAGTGTCTCATTCCTTCTTCCTCACCTCTACCCATCATCCACCTCCTCTGTTGCATCCTAAGCCCCTGAGGAGTCATGAATGCCCTGATGTCTGTGCTTCACGATGCTACCCGGAAGCTGGATATCTCTAGCTACATGTCAGGGATCACGATTAAGTGTTCACTAAGGGATATGTCAGTTTTTCAACTGTGTACACCCAAGAACATCTACTTTGACAAAGAATATTGGATCCTCTGATGTGTTGGTCATCTGAGGGCTGCTGAAGGGAGTGATGGACCCCCAGCCCACCCTGCAAAATTGAAGCCCCTTCCACACCTGTGGCCTGTAATGGGTTCTTAGGTCAGACACAGACAGTTGAGAGCTAGTGTTTGTACGACTGCATCAGCTTCCTCAGACAAAGCCCCCCTACACTAGATTTTACCCTCTCATTTGTCTGAACACAGACAGGACACCAAAGTCACCCCAGGTCTAAGTCACATTGGATGAGAAAGGCAAGAGAAGAACAAAGAGGCCAGGGCCCCCTGCACCCAGAGTCCATGGCTGAGCTTCCCTGGCTGCCCTCTCTAATGACTCAGTCCAGCTCCCTCCCCAGCAAGAACTCTGCCTCCTTCCTTCCCATCCTGCACTTCTTAGCCCTCAATGTCCTCTTCTGAGACTCAGCTGGCCCAGGCTCTGGATACAGGTGCTGGTCACACAATGGCATCTTTGTGCCTCTGTGGACCCAGGTTGGACAGCTCCACATATCTATAAACAATATTAATGAGCACTCTCTGACAAGCCTTGGCTCTTACTGAGGTGGTCATAAGACCTAAGCCTTGGTCCCAGCATTCAAGGTGCTACTGAGCAGGAAGTCTGTCATCCCAAGGGCAGGAAAAGTGACGCCTGTGCTCTTTAGAAGCAAAGAATAATGAGAAGGTTTAAGTTTCCACATCTGGGGTCCCAGGAACTTTTCTGTTTGTTATCCTGTTGATTGAAATAAAATAGGTTATACTTCACTGTGTGTGATCACTGAGGAAAGCATTTACAACAATGGTGTATATAATTTCATCCTTTAAAAATGGGAAACAATAACTACAGGTGATTGACAAATCATGACTCTCATGTCTAGTATGATGGGAAGCCTCTGCACTCCTACCACCTACCTGTCGTTCCCTGAGTCATGAACCGAATACTGCCAACTATGCTAATAAAGACTGTCGTAGTTGGGGTTTCTATTGCTGTGGGAAGACACCATGACCAAGGCAGCTCTTATATGGGAAAATGTTTAATTGGGGCTAGCTTACAGTTCAGAGGTCTAGTCCATTATCATTATGTCACAGGGCATGCAGGTGGACATGGTGCTAGAGAAGGAGCTAAGAGTTCTACATGTTGATCCAGATGCAGCAGAAGGAGTCTATGTCTCACACTGGGCATAGCTTGAACAAAGGAGACCTCAAAGCCCACCCTCCACAGTTACACACTTTCTTCAACAAGGCCACACTTACTCCAACAAAGCCACATCTCCTAAAAGTGCTACTCCCAGTGGGAGCCATTTTCTTTCAAACCACCACAGAGACACAAAAATTAAAGTGACTGAAGAATCTGTCTGGAGTTGGTGAGGGGGGGCTTGCAGTCAATCCCAGGTAACTGAGGCAGGACTCAATGTGGTCACCTCAGATGGTAGATGTTTCCAGGAGTCAAAAGAACAGGTAATTGGTGTCAAACTAGGGTAAACAACACAGAGAGATGTAGGAGAGAAAGGAGGCCTATCCACAGTGTGCCATGGCCTAAGGCATTTCTGGGTGACCCCATTTCATTCTAGTGGTGGTTCTTACAGAGTTCTCCAACTCCACAGCTTCCAGTCTCAACTTCTGGTCACATCCTTCACTGCCCTTGAATGTGAACCTCAGTGTGGTCAACTTTTAGATGCTGCTAAGTCCCAGGTGCCTCACTGCAGGGTCCTGTGTCTGGGTGTTACATGTCATTTATAGATAGGGAGGTTCTGATAGCTCCACCAAAACCATCAGCCCAAAATGGGACTGAGGTGCATTGAAGGAAACGGGGAGCCATCCTGAGATAAACATCAGTAACTCCTGGAGGATGAACTACATACTGGGGACTGCAGATTGTTTTCCCATGGACTTCATTATTTTTGAGACTGCTCCTGGATCATGATGAATACTCAGTTCCAGAATAAAGACAAATTGAATCATGAGTGCTCAGTACAAGGAGTGGAGGATCCTTGAAGGTGCTGATGACCAACCCTCTTGATTTTTTTTAAAGGCAGGGCCAGGCATACTGATTCATGGCTTCCCACCTCCAGTGCTGTCTGCCTCTCCTCTATGTTTCAAGTGACACACTCTGCTGAGGCCCAGATGTGCCCATATTAAGCACACTTAGTTAACAGAGGTGGTTACTAATAGGAAATAAACAGCCTGGTGCGGTGCTGCACACCTTAATCCCAGTGCTCCGGAGGTGGAGGCAGGAGGATCAGGAATTCAGTGCAAGCCTCAGATACATACCGACATACAGGCCAGACTCAGCTACATTAGACTCTGTCTCCTAAAATGTTTTAATGAAAAAAGAAAAGGGATCTGTGTTTCCATGTTCCTCCTTCACTTATCTTATTCCCACACTTCCTCTCTCCCCCATTTCTATCTGAAGAAAATCAAGCAGACTGAGTCTCCTACAGTGCTCATCTCTGGGTGGCATGCTTGTCATGGTCTCTGCATTTTGATTTCTCTCTGTTACTGGACTATTTTCATTGTATTTAGTGGTTGAGTGACAATGACTCCAATAGGCTCAGATATTTTGAATATTTGGCCACAAATTTATGGCCTTGTTTTGGTAGATGTAAGAGGTGTGGCATCGCTAATGGAAATATGTCATGTGGGGAGGGGGGCAGATTTTGTGATTTCAAAAGCCACATGGCATTTTGAGTTTGTTTGCTCTGCTTTCTGCTTGTGTTTGAGATGTGAGCTCTCAGCTGTTCCTACCACCGTGGCAGCCTGCTGTCACACCTCCCTGACATGATGGCAAAGAACTCCTATCCCTCTGGAACTGTGAGCCCCAAACTGACCCTCCTGCCATAAGTTTCCGTAATCTTGGTATTTTATCACAGAAGTAGAAAAATAACTAAGACAGAACTTCTTGCCAGGAGTGGGGTACTGCTGTGACAGACCTGACCATGTGATATGGTAAGGATTGTGGTGGCATTGGAACTTTGGACTGGAAAAGCCAATGGCTGATCAAAGCTCAGTGGCTCTTCTGTGAGAGATGAGAGGAAAGCAAGGTGAGAACAAGGCGGATGATGGGGGACTCCCTCGTGAAGGTTCAGAGGGAAGCAAAGTCTACCTGTGCCACTTAGTTATATTTTTTGACTAACTAATCAATCTGTGGTGTCTGTTCAGCTGGAGCTGAAGAATAGCTGTGATTAGCTAGAGACCAGCACCACTGAAGTAAAACCACTGCTTCACTCTGACAATCCGTGCTGGTTAACAGGGGCTAAGAAATGAGCAATGGTTGAGAAGAAACAGGTATCGCTGAGGTACCTTCTTCCAGGAATATACCCTCAGGTTCAGCACACAGAAGCTGTGGTCTAGAGAGGGCAAAGACTGCATCTCAGGCTTTCATCTGAACCTGGTAGGAGTCACCCAAGTGGTGCTCGTATTTATGTAAGTTTTATTAGCTTTTTTTTCCCATTTCATTTTATGTGCAAAGGTTTTGTCTGCATGTATGTCTGTGCACCATGTAAGTACTTGGTGCCCACAAAGATTGAAAGAGGGCATCAGATCTTCAAAAATAAATTAGAGATTGTTTGGAACTACCATGTGGGTACTGGGAATCAATCACTAGTCCTCTGCAAGAGCATCAAGTGCTCTTAACCACTGAATAATCTCTCCAGTCCCCAAGGTAGAGCTGGTTTTGAAGGTGTGAAGAGAAGCTGAGGCTTGGCATTTTGCGGCAGTGCTGGAAGAGAGGCACTACCTGAAGAGAGGCCATTGGTGAGGGCATAGCCTCAGTTGCAATGGAGACCCCAGGGCATTAGAGATACCAGTACCATGTGTAACCACCGCCAAAGACAGCAGTGGAGGCTGGCCTGAGCCTATGAAATGAGCTATTTGTTCTGTAGAGGTAGGGGTAGTGAAATGAAGCTATCTATCCAGGCTTTTGGGGACCCAGAGAATTATGAGTGTGTTCCAGACATCAAGCATGTTTTGCAGTGTTGAAGTTTGTTTGTGGTTTGATTTGGTTGTGACTGTGCCCTGGTTTTTAACTTGTTTGGGGTATTATTATTATTATTATTATTATTATTATTATTCAAAAGCCCACAGTTGAGAAACTTTGGACTTTGAAAGAGCCATTGGGTTTTAAAGAGAACTTAAATTTTTACGGCT